ATAATGACTGCATACCCATTTTTGATCTTAAGCACTATAAATAGCAAGTAAAATATTTTGAACAGGTTGTGTTTAGATGATAATATCACTGTTAAAAAGTAGCATAAACAGAAATGTGTTATGTGACAAGTTTGTTTATGTTGTAAAGTTGGGAAAAAGCAAGAAATTGGGTGCGTTTGGCAGAAAAAAGCGCTAGCAAGCGCTTACAAGCGCTGAAATAGTTTTCGGCCAGGACACGATTGCTACTTCAGTAGCGCTGACACAATCCGCCATTTTGCTTATTTAATTTGTTTGTTTTGAAGTAGAGTTAAGTTGTTTTATGCAATATTAGTTTTAAGTAATATATTGACATGAATAAACATATACATGTTATTAAAAATTATGATTGGTAAGATTTTAATATGAATACTTTACAAACATATATTTAAATTAGGTTAGGTTTACCGATTAAAACTAACATCGTGTCCTGGAGGAAAATAGCTACTTACGATTTAACAGCGATTACCGCTTACGATCGCCATTTTGCTTACAAGCGCTTGCTAGCGCTTTTTTCTGCCAAACGCACCCATTAAATTCACTGCATTTTCACAACTACATTAGCATTAGCATTAGTTAGCATATCCCGGACACTATTTAAGTCTAGTAATGTAAACAGTGATAAATATTAAGCAAGACATTTTAAGCCTTTAGATTGAATATGGTTCGTGCAAGTCCATCGCTCTTTGGGACCAGGAACATAGTTGATATGAAGCTTAGGGACACTTGAGCCACCTGTAGAACACCTTTTACCACATCAGAGACAGATCAGAGTCGCCGGAAATGACAACAATTATAAAACTTTTAAAATGGAATGCCGCCTCGTCCTCCTGCCTCCATAATCTCCTCATTTAGTTCTAGGTCAACGAATCCAGAGTCACAAATATACGTTTTTTAAGTATCAGCGTACCTTAAATTACACCATCAACGTTATTAAGCAATCGCATGTCATGTAGTCACTTTAAATACTCTTGTGACGTCTTAGGAACCGAAGGTTGTTTTACACTAATCTTCTACTAAAAAGTAGCGAAGGTAAATAATTTTTTATCGGAATTAACACTTTGCGAGGTGAATGTTACGATCGGTGAAATAATACCGCATTCGCCATAAAGATCTTTACTTATATCAGAAATATAGCCGTTATTTGCTTCGGCTAACTGCTTTCGAAGATTATGTATTCGTCTTGATAAATCATCAAGCTTGCAGCTTAAACATGATCTTTTGCCCCCTCTGGCGATGCCGTCGCTTTCTTTTCCTGGAGTCAGAAAACGAAGCAGCGGAGGAACTGTTAGAACTGCTGCTATTAGAACTCAATATAGACATCATGATCTTCAATTTCTTGACGACGAACGATAACTGTTGTTAACGGGAATTTCTTTCAGTATATAAAATTAATGTATTAATTAAATTTACTACGAACGGTAAAACCGATAAATTAAAATTGCTAAAAGTGGGTATATTTGCAAAATAACATTTCACTAGTTTCTAGGTTGAAAAGGCCCACTTAAAATTTTGTATTAAAATATAAGATCAATAATTAATTATGTACGTTATAGGATGGACACGTATTAGAATGGCTCTCAAGCACCTTAAAAACGGCAAGGATCTAGGCGAGGATAGAATTAGGTACAGCGGTCTTCTGAAAGCGAATGGTAAACCGGTACTTAAAGTCCTTCAGAAGCTTCTTCAGTTCCGTCCTCCATGATGGCATTACTCCGGAGGCGTAGAGTAAAAGTGCGGTAGTCTTGTTCTTCAAGAAAGGCGACAACGCTCTCTTGTAGTACTACAGACCGATTTCTATTCCGAGCCGCGACTACGTGCTATTTTAGAGAATTATTACGAATCGTCTCATACGCAGACTCAACAACTTCCAGCTTCCCGAACAAGCTGGTTTCCAAAAAGGCTTCAGTAACATTGTCCACATGTGCATACCCTGCGGTAAATTGTACGGAAGACCGAAGATTACAATCTGCCATTTTGCCTTGCGTGAGTGGACTATGACAAAGCCTTTCATTCCATTGAAATTAGGCCGGTGCTACAGTCCCTTCAGCGATGCCAAGTTGACTGTCGGTATATCGAAGTGCTGAAGTGTTTGCACAGTAGCGCTACGATGGCTATCCGAGTACAGAAACAGAGTACGAAACCTATCCAACTGCAGAGAGGTGTAAGACAGGGTGACGTTATATTTCCTGAACTCTTCAGCGCTCTATTGGAATACGTTTTTAAGCTACTGGCCTGGACAGGATACGGTATTAACATCAATGGCGATTACATCACTCACATTCGATTTGCCGACGACTTAGTCCTTATGGCAGAATTGCAGGGGGACCTAAGCACTATGCTCAATTATTGTCCTCATTATCGTCTCCCAACGGATAGGTCTTAAGACACTTCACAGACGAACAAAGATCATGTGTAATGTCCACTTCATACCTATGTCGGTAGTTGTTGGGATCACTTAGTTCGAAGTTGTTGACGAGTACGTTTACCTGGGACAAATAATCCGACTAGATAAATCCAACTTCGCCGAAACGTCAATCGACAGATTCAACTCAGCTGGGCAGCGTTCGAGAAATAACGACACATCTTCCCGTCACATGTACCTCGAAACCTGAAAATTATGTTGTACAACCAGTGCATGTTGCCAGTGATGACTTATGGATTTGAGACGTGGTCCTTCACTGCAGGACGTATGAGGACGCTCAAGATCGCTAACATGGCCAACATGATATCAATTGCTGCTTTTGTTATATTTCTTCTGGTAAGGGCCTCCCGCACAACACTGCGGCAACCAGGACAAGGATGCGCTGGATGTTCGTCAGGCTGGCATGAAATATTACGGAGCTTTGACTGGGTTCGAGGGTAATTATAGGTGAGGCGATATGACGATAAAATAGAGGATATCAAAATAGGTCGTGCATACAAAGACTAACATTGCCACGAAATGAAGGAGGAAGAGGGGTAATAGACATAGTTAACTTACATATCAGACAAATAACTACGCTCAGAAATTACTTTTATGATAAAACAGCAATATCGTCACTACACAATTCCATAGTACACAATGATCATAAATTGACACCGTTAATATGCATGATAAAACATTGCAAAAAAAATGAATTACTTGCAGATAATAACACAAAAATTGACATATGGACCCAAAAGTCTCTACCGGAGACAAATTAGCGTCGAACGCATGGCTTCAACGTGGTGAGTTTCTGAGACTGAGGGTTTTATGTGCGCAATTCAGGACCAAATCATATAGACACGCAATAATCAAAAGCATATTATTAAAATAAAAAATTTACGTACCGACACATGTAGACGCTATTGTAATACTTCAGAAATAATGCAACACATCACTGGTGCCTGTAAAGCGATTGTTCAGACGGATTATAAGTATCGGCATGATCAAGTAGCCACTATCATTCACCAAAAACTTGCCTTTAAGTATAAATTAACTGACCAGCCAACTCAAGTTTACTATAAATATAAACCAGAAATAGTCCTTGAAAATACCACTCACAAAATGTATTTTAACAGAGCTATACTTACCGACAAAACAATATACTTTAATAGACCGGATATAACATTAATAAGTAAAGCGAATAAATGTGCTTTTATTATTGACATTGCTATACCTAATTGACATAACTTACAGACAAAAATTAATGAAAAAATTTCCAAGTACACTGGATTAAAACATGAAATTATTAGAATGTGGAATTTACATAACGCCATTATAGTCCCTATAGTCCTCTCTACAACTGGTGTAATACCAAAAGCGCTTCATCAATCATTAAAAACTCTAGATTTACCAAAACTAACATATATTCAATTGCAAAAAGCAGTTTTACTTAATATTAGCAGAATAGTTAGAAAATTTATCTCTACCGAAAACTACCCATAGCCAAACAAGCTAATGGTACCCACTTGGCTTTGTCCCGTGGTAATAACCAGTTTTGTTAAAAACAGACTGAGAAAACGTAGAAACTATAACAAAAATAATAATAAAGTTGGCGTAGGGAAGTGACGACCCCATCGCCCGCTGACATAACGGTTACGTGACAAAACCACTACGTGAGCGCAGTCAGCCAGCACCTTGCCAAGAGGTGTTACGTCCTCGGCATAAGTTGAAGGTGCAATAGCCCACTTGTGCACATGGCCTCACCATGAAACGGCTCCGGGTCTGGGCGTCTCCCGTTGAATGACGCCTATAAAATGGATGATGGAATTCGATAGAACGCGCAAAGGGCCGCTACCTGGTGGTCGCCGGGGTGCGTCTGGAGCTGGCGCTGGACGCGACAGCATGTGAACCGCCAGCCGAGCGCGAGGTGCTGCTCGAGCACCTAGTAGCCCCTCGCATCCATCATCCCCACCAGCGTGCTTGGTGACGGCAAGGTCTTTGCGGGCCCAGCAATCGCCATTGGTGGAATACGCCGCATGCGTTAGACAATCTCGATGAACAGCAACACATTGCGGGCGTATTATGGGGCGAAGGGGGGGGGAATTGGAAGTTTTGCCTATCGGGCAAGGATGCATCGATTTTTTGCTGAGCTCGAGCCATCTGTAACCGTCACCACCTGGCAAACAGCAAAACCTGGCAGACCGAGTTTGGTATATCTTTCGCTCAAATATATTTGATGGCGCCAAACTCAATGGTGAGTCAAACCTATTTGGAAGCCAGCCGGGACCTTTGTGATACGGACTCTATTCTTTTTGGCCCCACGCTGGCAGTCTGCCGTATCATAGACGCCAAGGTTTCCATGGCTAAGCGCGCTACTGACCAAAGTAGCGCTATCCTAGCACGGAGAACAAGAACTGAGGAGCGTATAATGCAAAAACTGACGGGGCGCATAGATGATCTGAAGTAGAGAATCGGTGCTTGGGGAAAGCGGATTTGGCGATATACCGAGAGGACGACTCGGTTCAACCGGAATCGTCTCTTCCAGAGTGATCAGAAGATGCTCTATGAATCATTGGAGCGACCAATGGTAAGTGGAACGGGCCCAGCACCAAATCAGGCCGACACTGTAACATTCTGGCGTGGCCTGTGGTCAGAGCCCGTAAACCACAGCGAGAGCCCTTGGACGGAAGTTGTGGCGAGTCAGTGTGCGAGTATAACGCAGGCATTCGACTTGGTGCCCCATATATGGCTAAAGAGGATCCTCCAGCTGTACAAGATTGACTATATAGTTAGAAACTTCCTTGAGCAGTGTATGAGGCAGTGAAGTACGATCCTTTGTCATCTGGGCGAGCGGATGATGGCTGCGGAAAGCCACATAAGGATAAGAAGGGGTATCTTCCAGAGCGATTGTCTGAATCCAATGTGGTTCTGCCTCTCCTTGAACCCTCTCAGTACTTTACTGGAGGGCTCCGGGAGGGGTTTTCAGCTTCGGAAAGGAGGTACAAAAGTGACCCACCTTTTTATATGGATGACCTCAAGTTATTCGCCTCCAGTCGCTCCCATCTTGTGGAATTGCTAAACATCACTTGTGAATTTAGCAATTCTATTGGAATGGAGCTGGGGACGGATAAGTGTGCGGTCATCCATGTTGAAAGAGAAAATGTTGCTAACTCTGAGGGCATAGACTTATCTATACCTATGAAACATACCGATACCTGGGTGTGTCACAGAACATCTGTATCAATGAGGCTGATATGAAACAGTCAGTTTACGACGTGTTTAATGCACGCTTGACCAAAGTGCTCAACAGCCTTTTGTCTGGTGTGAATAAGACACACGCATATAACGGTTGGGTCATGCCTATCCTCATGTATACCTTTGGCATACTCAGTTGGACTCAGACTGAACTTAACGCCCTGGATAGAAAAGTCCGAGATCGTCGATAATGAGGCTGTACTTGCCGCGAAAGCATGGTGGGCGTGGCTTTTTAAGCGCGCTCACCATGCATAATCGCGAAGTGTACAGTGGTCTCCGTAATTACTTCCTGGTGAGATCGGATGACCCATTCTATAAGGACGTCATTTTTTGTGATAAAGGACTTACCCCTCTATCCTTAGCCAAAGAGCAATGGCAAGATGCCGGGCAGTGCAGAGCATTTCCGACAGGGAGATCGTATGGAAGGAGAAGGAGCTCCACGTGAGGTTTTACAAGGCTCTACATGAGCCTTTCGTAGACACAGTATCCTCCCTCCACTGGCTACGCTTTGGTGACCTTTTCGGGGAAACCGAAGGTTTTGTCTGCACAATACAGGATCAGGTTATTAAGACCAACAACTATCCGTGTTGTTAACAACCGTCCGATGGCACCGTCGACATCTGTCGAGCTTGTCGCCATCCCGGTGAGTCACTGTCATCTCCGGTTGTTCGGCGCTTTCTAACTATGAGTACTTGCACAGGCACAACTTAGTAGCCAGAATTCTTCACCAGTAGGTCGCTCTGAAATACGGTCTCGTGGACCGGAAATTGCCGTATTACAAGTACTTACCGGAAGCCGTGCTCTAAAATGAACGCCCCAGGCTCTACTGGGACCGGGCCATCATCACAGACAGGACTATTCTTGCGAATAAGCCTGATATTGTGCTGATGGACCGGGCACAGTCAAGGATATTTTTGGTCGACATTACCACTCTGTATGACGAGAACCTCGTGAAAGCCGAAACAGATAAGCGAACAAAATATCTGGACCTGGCTCACGAGGTGACCGACATGTGAGGTGGTCTGCCGACTGAAATTATTCCTGTAGTCGTTTCTGCAAACGGGCTAATCCCAGTCAGCCTCTCGGGTCATCTGAGGCGGATGGGACTCCGTGACGGACTGCTCCAGGCTCAAATGTAGAAGGCGGTCCGATACCGCCCGCATCGTCCGCCGGTTCCTTTCCCTTTCCCCCTAACTCTCGGGAGTTTGGTCTCCCCTGTCGAGGGCCTCCATCTGGTTGGGCTTTAATTTATTTATGTATTATTTATTTATTTGTGTTAGTATATGAAATATATATTTATGTATAATTATCATTTCATTTTATATATTTATTCAGCCCTACCAGATGAGAATACACTACTAATACCCCAAAATAATAATAATAATATCCTGTAGTCGTCTCTGCAAACGGGCTAATCCCAGTCAGCCTCTCAGGTCATCTGAGGCGGCTGGGACTACGTCGCGGACTGCTCCAGGCTCAAATGCGAAAGGCGGTGCTCCTCGACACCACCTGCATCGTCTGCCGGTTTCTTTCCCTTTCCCCCTAACCCTCGGCCGTTTGGTCTCCTCTGCCGATAGCCTCCAGCTGGTTGGGCTTTTATTTATTTATGTATTTTTATATTTATTTAATTTTATTGATATTTATGTATATTTATCTCTTCTTCATTTATAATTATATATTTATAGAACCCAACCAGATGAGAAAACTATATAGATACCCCACACAATAATAATATTCTTAATTAATTTTATCTAGATAACAATCTAAACTTTCCGTATTTTCTTTGCTTGAAAGAGACGTATAGGATGTAATATTAAATATGGGTATGGTGTAAGCAAAAATAGTTAAGTACCTGATAATTTTTTGGCAACTAAAGTCGAGACTTTATCAAAGGGTGTCAAATACATTACATATATGTTTATAATTTATATCGTAGCTATATCGTAGAATTGATCACTTTATGATGTGGTCTCGACCATTTCATGAAATGGTCCCGTTTCATGATAGAACCAAATGTAGATGGCCATATCATTAAACGTTGACGTTTAAGCGATATGGCCAGTTTTATCAAGTCACATCACGAAACGGGTCAATTTTTTATAATGGTGGACCACATCATGTATTGATCAATTCTATGATATGGCCACGACATATACATACTATTGTAAATCTGTGGTAGTTAGAAACTACATAAACAAAAAATATGGCATTATATGTCGTCTAAAACAAATAGCATGGAAAATAGTTATGTATGTATAAAGTATACATACCGCAGAACATTTTTTGTACCAGGCTTCGGCAACCGATACAAAATGATGCTGGAATCTTTAGAAGGTCAAGATCCACACATGATACAGCTTCTAGTGTTTTCTTTCTGCGATCTCATCGCGAAAACATAAATTCGAACAAATGTCGCTATCTCAACATTGAGTCTATCTTTATCTCACAAAACACTTAATTTCACCAAAACACGGCCACGGAGGAGCCAACTCGACTCAATGTTAACAATGTAGGTAGAATTAAAAAGAACTAGTTTATTTATTACAAATAAACATAAATACAAGATAAAATAGTGCTCGAGCACCGGCAGACATTTTTTCTTGTGACGTCATAATCATAATCAAAATGGCGTGCGGGCATAATTAATCTCTTTTACCTTATATTGTTGTCTCTCTTGTTTTCTAGCCCACGTACATCTTGTTTGTAGAACAAAGTTGACGGACCCCGACCTGGTGACCCTCGACTGCGCTAATTTGACTGGCGTGGTGCTTCCCTCCCCTAACTCTCCCCCTCCCCCATAAATCAGTCATTTATAGTCACTCAACGTAGCGTAGTCGAGCACCACGCTACTCAATTCCGAGTGGTTTATAAAAAAATAACACGAAGGAGATGGCGGGTTCTATTCGCTCGCTCACTCGATCCCGCCATCTCCTTCTAACCTAACCTGACCGAGTCGGGATGCCCTGAGTCCCGAGCTCGTAAAGTCATAAAACTGTATGAAATCCTCGGATGTGATATTTTCTATATTTTTTTCATAAAACCGCTATAAAAACGAAGATTTAAAAGAAAATCATCGAAATTGGATGATTTTTCGATTTTCTAGAGCCAAAAAACGAGAGGACCGCGATAGTATAAAATTACCGTTGTCCTATATTCAAACCACATTATTGATAGGCAATTAATAAACATACCATTTATGAACTGAATTCGGAAATTCACCTCCTCACCGGTTTAGATGTTGTACGATTTACAACTTTTATAAACATTGCTTCTCAATGCAAGATAAGTCGAACTTTTTATACTATTATCATTTATCAAAGAACAACATATTTTTTCGTTGCAAAAAGTATAATAATATTTTCAAGATATATTAAACTAAACTTAACGACACGCTGTAGTCTTTTTAATTAGAGCCGCTTTATACCCAGATTAAACAGTCCAAATCAAAAGTAGTAATAAAATACGAGTAACGTCATAAAAGTTCTTTCATTCTTTTTTACAAAATATTGTACGGAAGCCAAAATGAAACCTATTAAATAAACCATGATTGTGTCACAATTTACGAATGTGACCACTATGTCAAAGTAGGTCACGCAGCAAATCGATAGATCTGTGTAGATAAAACACAGGTCAAGGACGAGTCGATAAAACTATAAGCTCCTCTAATTGTGAGACTTTTTAAAAATTAAAATATCAAAAATGTTTTGACATACTTACATTATTTTAGGCGATTTAAACAACACAGAAAACAAGTAGAGTACAATGAAAGTATATGTACAACAGGTGATCTTATCACTCTTTTGGACGACACACACGGTCAGTTCAACTGATCAGTTCAAACTAGGACTGTTGATATAAATATAAATAATCTTATATATAACACTTCGATATTGATATATTTATAATTATCGATATATCGAAAATCCGATATTTTACAAAATATCAACAGTCCTAGTTTGAACTGATCAGTTGGAGTGATCAGTTGAACTGACCGTGTGTGTCGTACACAAAAGTAATCACTTTCGAACAACCTTAATTGAGAGCATTGACGCAAACAATCGTTTAAACAGATAGAGGTGCACAAAAAATTATGTAAATTTGTATAAATATACGTCTGCATTATATCTAATATAATAAAGTAGTACCTGGATGACCGAGCTTCGCTCTGTTTTTTTTTTTTTTTTTTTTGAAATTATATTTAGATACAAATTACATACTGATGAAATATGAATGATATTTTTGGATCTTACCGACTTAATAGAAAAAACTGAACTGGTTATTTGAATAAAAAATCATAAATGGAAATAATTTAATTTAAATTTTCGTGTTTTAAAAAAAAAAATAAAACTGATAAATTCATAAAAAAGAATAAAAAAACGTGTAATTCAGAGATGTGATCATTTCTGCAAAGCCCTAGTATAAATTTAATGCATAAATTTTGAATCTCTTAACTTTATTAATTTAGTGTTCATGATAACAAATATCTGACTGAAGACTAAATCGAAAGTGGATTCATCTCAAAATTTGACACATGATATCACAAAAGTGTAAAAACAGTGTTAAATTACTTGCGGAAAATCGGTAAAAATTAGTAAAGAAGCAAGACAATTGAGCACCTCATAAACTGAGCGACGCATAGCCAGAGGCCAGCGGCTAAGCTTGCATCGTATTGCTGGATCGGTATTTAAGAGGAAAGGAGGGTATTTTGAATCGTATTGTTACTTGCGATGAGAAGAGGATAGATCCTATACAACAATGGCAAGCGTTCATCTCGAGCAAAATGGACACTGTTTGGCTTTAGATACCAAACCGTTCCCGGAATCAAAGATTTGGCAGAAATAGGCGAGTCCAATCCTTAATGGACATTTCTAAAAGCCAACGCTACTGCAACCGTGTGATAGCATTATGTTGAGTCAGGGGCCTTTTCAGCATCACATTACTCATGCAATCGGATTATGTTAAATCTGTTTTTACTTATTCCTCCTTCCAAGTCCGGTATGCAGAGGGCCAGGAAAATCAAGCATTCGGAAGCACTAGACTCTGGGCCGGATCTATATATAGGCTTTTTGGGCTACAGCCCAGGGCCCCGTGGATATAAAGGGCCCCCAGCCCCCAGTGAAGACTAGCTGTCATAGCTTTAAAAAGAATTATGATAATATTATGAAAATTTCATGAGTTTTTGTAGAAATGAGGATGAGAGAGTTATTTTTCAAAAAGAGGGCCCGAAATTTAAAAAGTGGCTAAATCCGATACTATTTTTTGGAAGAAATTTTTAAAGAGGATATTTGTAAAGGCATACAAGTTAGTTATGTCATCAAAAGAGTTCGTGAGTAACGACAACGACATCAATCGAATGAAAAATTAAAGATAAACGAGGAGAAAGCTTAAAACTTAAATACTAGAGTGGTACTGACATAAATAAAAGATATGCAGAATTATCAGTTGAAGTCTAAACTCAAACGTTAAACGTTGTGTTGAATAAGCTGTTTTGGATTTTGGATTTATATAGAAAATGTCAAGTCTATGAGGCATATAGTAAGAAATTCAATCAGTGAATTCGGTTAAAATCTCACTAAAGACTAAGCTAGATTCTTACACTCTTGCAGTGAAATGTTTATGCTAATCAATAAAAAAAAACTTGTTGATGTTTTCCCAAATTACTTTACTGTCATCTTCTAGAATTTTTAACGTTGTCAAACACTAGCTGTGAATCAGTGCGCTGTTTCTCCAGGATGTTATGTAAAGAAAATAATTGTACGTAAACAATGTTGAGCAATCGACTAAATTATTTATCAACCCTTTCTATAAATTGTGATTTAACAAAACATTGACAATGTGATAAGCAAATAAAGAAATTAGCAGTGCAAAAATCTAGAAAGGTTGTCATAATTTATTTAACATAACTGCACATATTGCCGTGTAGTGGCGGTGGAGAATATCCACTATCCCATATCGTCCCGTGGGTGTCGTAAGAGGCGACAGAGGGAGACAGACAGGAGATGGGCAGCAACTCTAAGGGTATCCACAAACTACCCATAAAAATTGGCAATAGTTTGTTAATAGATAACAAAACCTTGAAAATATATTAACATTATGGAAGTCTATTGTTAGGTTAGTTTCAATAAAATTTATAAAATATAAAACATTATTTGGCAATATATGACAAAATTTGCAGAGAAGGTCTAGAATAAGTAATATATAAGTAGGTGAATAGTGAATAAAAACTAATTAAAGAATATCTCAAAAATCTGGTCTTTTTATTCTTTAAAATTTGATAAGCAGCAGTGTCGCTTTATTGACAATGAGTGAACGATAGTATTCAATCCGTGAATTCGATAAAATTATAAAATGGTGCGGTACCTATTACATTTTAAGCAATTAAAGTTTACGTGGTGTGCAAAGGTTACACGAAAGTGAGTCTTCGCGGCAAATAGGTACGTGTACCCAATCAAAGAATAATTGTCAGTTCATTAAACTATTAAATGAAAGGAGCGGTAAATTAAATAGTTAATATGAAAAAGGTGGATTGAGCACGGGGGCCTAAACTAGGGCCTTGAAATAAAATGTGCGGTGAAATAAAAGAGTCATGTTTACCTCAAAAATGCCCAAAGTTATTAAGAACGCCACATTTAAATTATTATTGCGTTGACGGAAGTGCTCAAGCACAGATAATAAGTGTAAAAAATAATTTTAGAATACGTGCTCATCTTTGCATAGATAGAAACGGATTCCATTTTGAGGTATATTAGTTATTAATTATTAATAATATATTATTATTATATTAGTTATTGAGACCACGTAGTGTTGATGCAAGTATTTTTTTTCCGTTTTTTTAGATACGCCGTAAAAAAGACAGTCGTCGGTTACATCGTTGAAAGACAAAAATATTTTATTTTACTTATGACGACGATCCTAAACTATATATTATTATACATATTATATTTTTTGTAGAAACATATATAAGTTATCGTAATTAGGCAAAATTTTTATATTTAAATCTGCTCATAATACTTTTATTTTATTTTTAGGTTTCCACATCGAAGTCAAAGTGGAATAAATTCGTTCATTTTTAACTTTCGCGTGCCCAGCATTTATGAACGCCTCTTATTCTAATTTAAATAAATATAATTGTATTTTAAATGTTATATTAATAAATTTTGTTAAACGTACATTTTATATGTTTTTTATGTTTGACATAGACGCCTTTTAAAATATTGAGATAAAAATATCATTAAAATGTAGTTGGGATATAATATTATGTAATATTATATTAAATAAGCAAATATAATATACAAAATAAATGACTAAAATTTAAATATTGTTCTCGATATAATTTACCGATTTAACAATACAATCTACTATTACCCACGGGTCATTCTACCTATATTTATTCTATGAT